GAGGCTGAGCTCGTAGATGATGATAAATAACATAGTTATGTATAATATATTACATTTCTGACTGTATATCCCTGTAATTATTACACACTCTAGCTTTAAAAGTAAAAAAAAAAAAAATATGACTTTCTTCTTCTTGTGAACTTTTATGGCGGTTGGCAAACTAGATAAAGCGCTTTACCGCCACCAACTGATAAGGAGGAGAAGACTCATCCAGAACAAAAGAATAATAATGAAAAAGAAAAAAAAAAATAGTTTTCCGAACTGTATATTTTAACCCAACACAATGAAATACATAATCAAATTCGTCCTCATGTTTTCTAACTTGTATATATTTATACTTGTCTATATTTTACTTATATCACTCTGCCAGGTTCTAATGGTCCTACTTGTTTTCCCATCACACTTTCAAACCTTTCCCAGTTTAGATCTCTCACTTCAAGGTACTTTTCTGCAGCTTTTACTGTTATTTTGATTTTTTTTCAGTTTTCTTAGTAATCTGTGCACTACAATTGATTACTTCTATTGTAATTGGTTTGCTATGTGCAATTATTTTTCTTGTATGTTATGTTATTCATATGATTGGAGTTGAAAATATACTTGTTCTGATTTACAAACTAAAATGGGGCTAATTAAATCCCTTTTCAAAATTTGAATATTTTTTATAGTATTACTCTTTAGTCGTCAAAAACAGGAGTTGCATTTTACTTTTTTCAAGTACAAGTATTCTGTCTTAGATATCCTCAGTTATGTTGGTGCTTATAATGAAAGAAAATAGCCATAGATCTCTATTAACTATATTATTCAAAATGTATACTAGATGTATTTACTATATTTAATAAAGATATATTTGCTAAGGCAATATTTAGGAAACAACTTCTTTAGATATGTTAGACTTACATTAGATTTTTGGTTTAATGATAACAAATGATTACTCCTGATTCTTACTAATAACAAATGGCTGTAGTTCCTCAATAATACCACAAAAGGGAGACTATGAACTATACTTGGTAGAATTGTTTCATTCAAAATTAGTTTAATAAAGTCTTTTCTATTGCTGTACAATATTTAAATATATACCACAAATGCATATTTGTAGTTCTTATCGACACAATATATTACAATGTTATGTTACAAACTAAGACATGGCTAATTAAATCAGTTTTAAAAGTTGTAAATTATTCTATAGTATTACTCATTTTAATTTTGTCAAGAACAAGTATTCTTAGAAATACTCAGCAACATTGGTTTTACAAATCCTTATATTGAAAGAAAATAGCCATACATATCTATTTTTATTGTATTATTTAATACTTATAAAGATACTTTTAAAAAGATTAAATTGTCCAGTGAGCTATTTCCACACGAAATTTCTTTTTGTTTTACACTTGTGTAAACAAAATGACAAAATCTGTCTAAAGTTAACAAAAAATGTTCATGTGTTAAGGCTTAATGCAGTTATATTGTCCTTTAAAATAGCAGCAGGTAAATATGAATAACATATCAGCCTTCTTTGTTTTTGGATGTTTTTGGAGGTTTAGGGTCCAAACTTAAGTACAGCTGCAACATTGGAATTCATAGAAGCAGGAGCAGGTGGATCAGATGAGCAGTGATGAGAAACAGGGCAGAGCTAGACAGGTGAATGAAATGAGCAATCAAGCCAGCCATCAGCACCAAAATTATGACAGAAATTACTTAGAACTTTGATCTGCTTCCAAGTTTCAGTTTGGTACTATGACTTTTAGAGACACAAAATTTCGCCAGGGTTCTGTAAAATTTTATAACGATCCTGAGTTATTTTACAAACAAAATGCAATTCATTGTGACATTTCTTCTGTTTTGCTTTTGCATTACTTTGTTTTTTACATAGACATGGAAGATGAGGAGGGCCAAATCCAAACTTTTCCCAACTCTTCAGGGTAGAAACCCTGAAATATTCCTGAAAACTTAGACTTAGATAACTTTTACTGTCATTTTGTATACAAACAGTGTATCAAAAACAAAATTTCCTTTAGTACAGCATTCAGTGCAGCAGTGATCAAATTTTAACAGTGTGGGAGAAAAAAAAATGGTACAAAAAACGCATTAACATGGTAGTTCAGAGTATTAATATATATGGTGCAGATATGCAGTATTTTTGGTTTAGTGTTATCAGTGTGATGTTTTCCAACAGCTCAACAGTCTGATGGCAGTGGGGAAGAAAAGGTTTAAAACCTTTGGTGTTGAACATGATATGGCATCAAATTATAGACATGAGGTGTTGACTAAATATTTTCAGTTATAAATGGGATTTCTGCCTTTCTTTCAGTTTTAATCTCTTCCACATCTTTCCCTAGTTTCCAACACAAGGCTTATTCAGGGTGACGGGATTTGTCCTTTATGGGTTTCAGTGTCAAAAGATAATCATTCCAAGGTGGCAAATAGCCCCTATAGGTGCCAGATCTGTATGTCCTGGGGAGTTACAGTAGAACTGTCCCTAAAACTGTTGACAATACATTCGGAACATCTGGAATGATCCAGCTCTGGGATCATCCTGATCCAAAGACCAAACCTCTTTGAGCTGATGAGGGGGTAAAACTGGAAAGCAGTTTGTAGCATTCAGCTGATGCCCATAGAATCTCAACCAGGTTTAGACTGCTCTGATCCAGTTGAACCTTTATAGTCAGCAAACTATTGTCTTCATCTAAGCACTTCAGCTTGTATGTTAGATCCAGTTCCAACCAACTTATTAAAAGAAGTATTCCCTTTGACTCCCTCCTCCATTTTGGATTTGATTTTGTCTATCACTGTTACAGGGATATGTACCAAAGGCTTTTAAGGTTTCTGTAATTAAACCTTCACTTAAAAAACTTTGTCTTGACCCAGATGACTTGATCAATTATAGACTTATATCCAATCTTCCTTTCTTATCTAAAATTCGTGAGAAAGTAGTTGCCAAACAAGTGTGCGACCATTTACACCATAAC